AAATAAATAAATAAATAAATAGAGAGGGACAGAGAGAGAGACTAATATTAAAACTCTATTTTTCTATTTCTTTTCACATAAATGTGAATACTGTAGATAAAAGGACAGAATAGTCCAGCTGAAAGAGCAACTCCTTGGCTACCGTGCCCATCCCTCCTCAAACAGGTCCTAGAGCACAGGTCCTTGTTGACTAGAGAGTACTATCAATTGCACATTTCAGTAGTTACAAGGTACATCCTACATACAAAAAAGACCCATCTCAAAGAATCTTCACCAGTTCTTCAGACAGCAAGATGTGGGATCAGAAAAAAGGAGTCGCTATCTACTTTTACTCTTAGTTCAAATTTTGATTTTTAATGGGATAACAAAACCAATCATAAAAGCAAACCATCACAAAGGTGGAGATGTTAAATCATTTCCTGGCTCATATAAACTGGATTCTAGTCATGACCTAATGGTTTTAATAAATTAGTATGTATCTCTTTGTATTGTGTATGTCACAATGACAATTAAATAAAAGACAAATCCTCAAAGAAAGCTTACCTGGGGAAAACACATGTTGTCATCTCCTTAAACTCATTTAAGTCCTAAAAAAAAAAAGAGAATGACTTGCTACAATTTTCCTAATACATTCATAGTATTAAAAAAACACACGAACAGTTCCACAACTGTTTTCTCAAACTGTCATATCTCACACAGGCCTTAAGCTAAACTGCAAAACCCATTTCTAGTTAAAAATTACTTTTTAAAAAATTCCCAATTTCCTCACTGATTGGGAACCATATGACCTAATAATTAACCTTTGCATAATCAAAACAGACAAATTTAAGGATTTTATAGCTGAAACAGGAGGGAGGAAAAGGTTTCTATCATATGTAGAAGACTACATATTTGAGAGGCTGGTAATATGTCCAGAAAACCTCCAGTACAGCTAACAGTTGTACTCTGTTTACACAAATTTATCATAATAGTGAGACTAACAGAGTCATTTAAATTAAAGTTTATACAGGAAATGCACTTACTGTAAACTAGTTTATACCTTTTTACTGAGATCACCTTTGAAATGTTAGTTAAAATGGCCATTAAAAAACAGATCTTTCAATATACATGATTCCTGCTTTAACTACTCAGAAAATTGCTAAAGTGGCACTAATAGCAAGTGCCTAAATTAGACAATTCATTTCTCAAGTTTATTTTGATCAGAAAGTCTAGAGCTGAAATAAGTGTTCTAATTTTGAATTAACTCATTTGCATACATAATTGCCATGCTAGACTGAGTAGTCATACTCCTGACCCTTTGTAAACTATACTTCTCTTAAATGTTATTCACGCTTTATAGGAAACTGCCATTTCCAATTAGCCTTTCAAGCTTGTAAATAAGGAATTATTTAGCTAGCTTGAAATATTTGCCAGCTTTTCAATGACTATCATTAATTAACAGATGATACATGAACAAGAGGTTTCAAATGTTAAGTCAAACAAAAATATAATAGTGACTATAATCTCTCAATACCACCACAAAGCTTTACAAGCAAGAAAAAAGTAGAATTATGGCTACCTCCAGGGCCAACAATACAACAGTGTTCTAGACCAATGCCTTCAAAAAGGCCATGCTCAAAAATAAAGAGGACTCTTAAGAAGAGCTCCTCCCCTAAAAGGCAGTTCCAAAATATGAATTCCTTAGTATATACTTTTAAATGCAAAATTGGGTGCTGATGCATGTGCAAAAGTTTAAATAGGTTTTCTCATTTATTCTTATCACTTCTTCCAAAGGTAGATGGAAGAAAACCATTTTCTCCCTTTGACAATGTCAGAACATAAAGTTAAGTAACTTATCCAGGTAGCTTTAGTAACAAAGCAAGGGATAAAACCATTTATCCTGACCCATCTCCTATTCTACAACAAATCACATGTTCTTTCTACTAGAATTTGATTCAACGGGCCGGCCCGTGGCTCACTCGGGAGAGTGCGGTGCTGATAACACCAAGGCCATGGGTTCGGATCCCATATAGGGATGGCCGGTTAGCTCACTGGGTGAGCGAGGCGTGGGAGCAACACCGAGGGTTGCAATCCCGTTGCCGGTTCCAGTCCGGTGCGGGCGCGACACTGAGGGTTGCGATCGGTTGCCGGTCACGAAAAAAGACAAAA